CGAATGTTTTTCATCAGAGACCTTTCTCTGTCACTCCTCCCTCCGCGCGTGCAGTCACTCAGTGATGCAGGCTGGTGAGAAGGAGCAAAATGAAGGGTCGTGTTGGAGATTTCCATGTGAGCTGGTGCACCCCCGCACCGTGCTGGCCATGTGCAGATAGCAGCTGGGAGCCTCAGAGCAGCAAAGCGGAGGTTGTGCCCGAGACCATCACCGCTGGCTCTCGGCGCAGGTACGGGCTGGCCCAGCACAGCAGTACCGTGGCCAGGATGCAGGCGAGCGCAGGGACACGTGTCTGTGTTTGTAAGTAAGTCATTGCTGGTACAGGTCAAAGTCTCCAAAATATTTTTGTTTTCAGTGGGCTGGAGTCCCAGTGAGCCAAAGAAATTAAAATAAAGTAGAGAAACCCTTGGAATGGGGAGGGAGGGGAATCACTGGCATGGGTCCCTAAGCCATGAGTAAACGCTTTCCCCTTGGCGTTTTGAATTCAGGACTGGCTGCCTTTTGGAAAACACGCTGGAGTGAAATCTTGGTCCAGATGCAGAGTAATTATGAAACTCGGATCGGCATTTATAGTGTGCTTACACTCGTGAATCTCAAAGCAGGCTACAGCTAAAGGAAAAAAACAAAACCAGCCGAAAGCAATAAACATTAGCAAACTGCCATTTGCTCTAGGGCATCATGAAAGTGGAAAAACTTGTTGAATACAGTGTTACAACTTTTTCTCTGGGCGCTTAGGTTAGCTGGGTAGCAAATATGCAGTGGTGTTGATCATTACCAACCTCAAAGAGATAGCATTTACCTTTCCCAAGGAGAGAGGCTTGTAAAAGCAAGCTATTGTTAATGTATACTTAATGCACAGAAACTGGAGTGCCAGCCCAGTGGAGACTGCTGTAGGCGCTTGGATCCTGCTGATTTGAGCAAGAGGGCGACGAGATGCCCAGTCTCGGCATGTGTGAGTTGTGTGACGGGGCTGCTGGGTGCAGGGGCAGCCAGGGTGACTGGTGCTCGGGTGGCTTTTTGGTTCAGCTGCTGGCACGGGCTGCTGGGGGAGTGCTGCAAAGCTTTGGAAAGATCACTTTCTTCCCCCTCTCTGTTGCCTGCCAGATCCTGCATACAGGTGCCAAGGGTCTCTTATGTTCCCTTTGCAAATGAAAGAAGAAACAGACCACAGAGCACCCTTGAATGAGATACTGATGTAAAAGGATTTGTGTGTAGTTACGACATCTGCTCATAACGTGACAGAGACAGCGGGCAGATGCGAGAGGCAGATTTATTGGTGCTTTTGCAAAGCCACATGAAAGAAAGCGGTAAGAATAGGTGATGAGTATAGAGAGTATTCTGCTATACTAGCTGTGTGATATGGAAATGAATTTAGGAGTAGCCTGGCTTTTTACTAGAGCAGACTTTTTTTACCTCTTCGTAGACCAGTCCTAAGTTAGCAAACCTGCCATGGAGAGAAGTTTGAGCAAAATCCACAAGTTACGGAGTTAATCAGTGGTGGACAATCCAATTAAGAAAAACAATAGCAGAGACGTAAAAAAATTTTTGGTTTTGTGACCTTTGCAGAAAAACAAAGGTCAGGTCTTTGATTTAATTTCTGTACCTTTATGGGAGGCTACTTTCTCCTTAAAAAACCCCCTGAAACAGTGCCACTGACATATTAACAGGCTTTCCTGTTCATTTGTAGTAAGCTGGTTCTCCCTTTTGCCCCTTAATGGCCATGGTCATTACATTCTGACTGTTGTATTTGAATTGCTTAAAAACATAGTTATTTCCTTCCTTTGCTCCATTTGTCTGCCTGGCCAGAAGAGCCCAATGTCAGTTAGTGCTTGCTCCTGGTAATGCTCCTTTTCCTTCTCACAGTGTCATGTCTGCAGCCGCTTCCACCGTAGCCCAGATTCATCGCCTTGTTTGTCTGTGGTTTCTTTCCTTTTGGCATCTCATATCTTTTAACAGGTCCCCTGTGACCAAGATTTAGCAGAGACTAGGACAGGCAACTCTCTGTGTATATATAACACTTTAATGTTATACTTGCTAATCCTTTAGTAACCTGGGCTCTTTATACTGCGATGGAAAGTGAAATACTGCTAAGCAGTTTAGTATCCCATCTAATTAGGTGAGGGGGTGGCTAAGGGCGGGATGCAATCGGTCAAGTCCTTGCGGCTGGAAGCGAAAAAAAGACCCAGAGGCTTTAGTTCGAGAGAGCTCGCGGGTCCTGCCACCTCTCGTGGGAGACAAGGGTGCCCATGCCGAGCGTGAAGCTGTAGGCAGTGGTGGAAAGCCAGAACAAGCTGTCACAAACATATTGCTGATAGGATAGAGATAAGCTGCGTTAATGCCGTGTACTTTGTACTGCCTTGTGCCACTCCTGCTGGTTTATTCCTATTGTTTTGGGCTGGTTCAGGATGTCTACAGGAAATACTCGAAAAACAGCCGGGCTGTGATATGTAATTGAGGAATTGGAGCTGGTGATTGTACAGTTCCTCTGTCCCATCCTCATTTCCACTGCTTAGGAATGTCATCCTGACTTAAATTTCGTCTGCATCAGATCCTTAAAACTCTGACTGTAATTAGAAAATCTCTTCTACTAGTTTATCGCTCGCAGTATTTCTCATGGTGTTTTACTTTCTCTCCTCAAATAATTTTAGTTGGATTCAGGCCAGTTTGCCTCTGTATTTTTGAAAGGGTCTGCTTTAAAGGTACTGCCTTGACTGACTTCGAATAGAGCAATTCTGGATTTAATGAAGAAGCTATAGGTCATGGTCAGTGACATGGGAATTGTGAGGGATTGAAAGTACTGGGAAATTTATTATCAGATTAGTCTGGGGACTGGAGCCTCCACTGGGAATGAAAAGCATAAAATTCTTATGTAAGTAGTGGCGAGGTTTAGTTCATGAAAATGCCATTTGATAGTGATAATGTAGCCGGCTACCACACAGGGCTATCTTCTCTGCTGGTGGACACATTGGGCAAGCTGCAAAGCATCATGTTGTAAGGAAGTAGCACCGTGTAAACCTTCCTCCTAGCCACTCCAAACTGCTCCCTATTGCAAGTTTCAAGCACTGCTGAAACACCTTTGTATTTGTCCTGACCTGCTGCCCACGTGATGAAGAAGGAAAATGGCTGTTTGGCAGGGCCCTTTGTTTTAGAGAGGTGGTTGAAAAGATTATGGCAAGATTGTCCCATTTTTTTTCTGGATTTTGCTAGTTTCCTATCAGTCAAGAGTTAGGTCCAGGTTCGCTGCAGCATTTCCATTAGCATCCTTTGTTACTTGATCTCTCAGCACTAGACAAAGGTCAGATGTTCTTGAAGATTTTATTAGATATATCAAGCAGTCCTTGACATCATGTATCAAGAAGTACTGAGGGACCAGTCAGAGCAGGCAGTTGTTCTGCAGATGACCTGATTTTTCTTCACTAAGGGATGCTGGAAAATATTCTTCCGTTTGCTTCTCTACCAAAATGTCCTTTTTTATGAGCTCCATTTGCTCCCTTCTCTTCCACAGGGCGTGTGAGCATTTACAGGGTTTGAAAGCAAGACATTTTATTCCGCAGTTCCATTACTGGAATGTCCCTGGTACCAGTACCCCCTTTTAATCAGACCTAGTCCACAGAATGGCACTGCTAGCCTGCTCTGATCTGTCTGTATGGTTTTGGGTCTTTAGATGGGGAGGAGAAGGGTGGTAAGTGTATACTCTAATTTGTTATGTTTTTCAGGCATCCCCTCAGTTTGGTTTCCTCCAGGATACTTTAACGTTTTCCAGCACTGAAGGAGTTGTGAAGAGATACTTTCCATAACGTGGTCACCAAGCCCTAGCTCTAAGGGCTTATTTGTACATGACTTTTAGCTGTCCTGTTTCTAAGGTTGCACTCTGCTTCCTGGGAGAATCTTGCATGTCTTTTTTGCTCTCAGGAATGCTCTCAGAAAAATCAGAACGGTTTTTGTTTGTTTGTGTTTTGCAATCCACTGGCAGTTGTAGCAACATCTTTTTCTGAGGTTTTATTGCAGAAGGCTGGAAGGGAGCAACGTCTGCTGGAATGTCTTTCAGGGTGGCTAGATAGAAAAACAACGCACTGCTTCCTTGCAATCCCTGAATTTTCCACATTTCCTTTTGAGTGACTGCTTTTTTTCTACTTAAATATTTTTTGAGATCGAACAGACATTATTTCCAAGACTGTTTACAAGTTGCATTTGCAATGGTAGAGAGACCTGACCATGCCACTGTGGTGTATAAGCTTTCCTGCAGACACAGGGACAAAGGTGGCTTTAGTAAAGTATTCTTCTTGATGTGTTACTTATGGTGTTGTGTTGTGTCCAGTTAAATGAATAAATACCTATCCCCAAAGCAGTGAAAAAAGCAATACTTGTCTATATAAATAACATTTGTGAGGTGCTTCAAGGATCTGATGGCCTTACATTGATTGATGTACTCCTTTAAGTGTAAACTTATTAAATGTCATAATCATTGATTGATTTGATCAGATAAAGCAGATCAAATGAGTAAGGCAGTATGGTGATCTATTTATTTTCACGCTATGTCTATGTGACATAGCTCCACTAGCAACTTCATTAACCGCCTTCAGGTGAGATGTGGGTACAAACAGAATGACTTCAACTGGGAGAGATGTAGGTTAGTAGTCCCCAAGTCAGTTGCAGTTGTGTTTCCTAGCTCCAGGTTTTTACTGTGGAGGCCAGAGGTTTAAACTTACGTTGATGAAATTAAAAGTGAAAGTACTGTAGCTTTTCACCAGAACTGCAGTGCCCGTGACCTACATTAGCTTCCCTGCTCTCTGCCATCTCTTCACCGACAGCCTGAAAGCCCCGGCAAAGCCTAGAGAAACCCATGGTGGGTCCAAGGGGACACCGGGACACCCTATTTTGTAACCTGTTGTAACCCCAAGGCTTTGTATTAAGAACTTTGTATGTTGTCAGACCAATGCAGATGGATTTAGCAGAGGCTCCGAGCAGAGAAGGAGTTTCTCTGACTACACGGACCCGCTATGAAGACTATTAACAGGGACAGGGATGGTCGTCATTTTGCCGGTAGGCTCCTGCAACTCTTCTGGGGCTAGATTCAATTCTTTGCTCTGGTGACATAAATCTTGGGGGGATTGTGCAAAAGTGGTTGTTACTTATGACCAGCGTCAGTAACAGTGAGGTCAGATGGTGACCCATCCATGGGGAGGAGCAGAGGCACTGGCGATGGGGTGACGCAGGCTTCGGCTCAGGCTGGGTAGGAAGGTACGACGGGGCTCACCCTGGCAATCCGGCTGACCAGGCTGCAGCTTGCACCACTGTCCATGCAAGGTGGAAACTCAGGGATGACTGTCGTCACTGGGCGCACACCATCACCTGCCATCTCCACTGTGTGGGTCCCCATTCAAAGCATAATTTAAAAGTGGAGGAAATTAGGGCAGAGCCAGAGATGAAGCTGATTTGCCTTCAGTGATAACAAAATTTTGGCAAGCTGGTTTCAAAACCCAAAGTTTTGGAGATTGGTTTGTTTTTTTTTTTTCTGAAGTGCTTTCCATTTGAGGGGTAATTTTCTCTTGTGATGTTGCTTATATTTGGGATTGTAGTTTATGGGTTTTTAATGGTTTATGGTTTGTTCCATTAAGCCTCTATGAGGCTTATAAAGAACAAGAGACTTCATATACTTCAGAGATGAGTTTGCCTCTTCTATCTGGAAAAAAAAATAAAATCCCTGACTTTTGACTTAATTTTCTCACCCTTATGCTTCTCTTACATTTTCCCACTACAAACGGAAAGCAAGAAAAATTTGCTGCTGCTGCTCTCGTCCCTAGCTGCACACATTTTTGTTTATGGCTAATACTCTGTAACACGTATATTCTACAAGCATGAGTGTGACAAACTGCTGGCAAACACATTTCAACAAAACAAATGCAACCATCAGGGAGGTGGAGGACACGAGCCACCTTGCCCCATGCCTCCACACTGCCGTGCCCTTGTTTCTCCTCTGTGTAATTTTAGGGCTGCGTCCTGCCCTGCCAATGGCATGAATGACCTGGGAGTGCTTTCCTGCTCCTGGGTCTGATGGAATGCGATGCGGGGGGAGGCTCGGGTGGACACAGCCCCTTCCTGCCCAGGGAGGATGCCCGTGCTTGGCTGGTGGGGAACTGGGGCTATCTCCAGCTGGACCGCAAGCGGGCTGTGACCTGGTGATACGCCACAAAAAAATAGCTGCTTTACTCTTCAGAGGTAGCTGGCCCTGCAGCTCTCACTGTTTCCACCCTGACCTGGGCAATGGGGGACCTGGGCTTCAGGCTGTGCCACGGCTCCTGGAGCAAGGAGTGCTCATGCAGGTCCCTCTCCTCCATCCTTTTTGGCCGAGTCGAGCTTGGGATAGTTCCCACAGCCTCCCAGAGCTGTGTTTCCTTCCTTTCCATGGGTTAAGGAGTTGGGCCAATGATACAGGTACTGCCTGTCCATGGTGACATGAATTGGGTGATGGGGACAGGACCCCAGAGGCAGATGGGGGCAATAGCAGTCCCTGGCTGGGGTTTGTTCCCGGGGCACTGACTGCTCTTCCCTTGCTCCAGCAGGGAGAGGGGTCCCTGGGAGCTGCCCCGGGGCCCAGGGGGGAGCACGGACCTGCGTATCCAACAGGACCTCTTACAAAGAGCCTGAAATGGTCTTTTGAGAGGCAGGCTTTAGAAATCAAGGGATCAGATGATCAGTATGAGATACATCCCTGTTTACTCTCTGATAGCCTGTTACGTCAAAGACCATCATCAGTGAGTCACCTACCCGTGTGTGTGACTGTCGTCGTTGCTGCTCTAAATATAAATGTCAAAGGATATTGAGCTGTAGGAATAAATCAGACCCTGTTGGCATGTGTGTATCAGGCAGATCTTCCTCTTCTGCATGTCCTTCTCTCGCTGTTATTAAGGCTGGTACGGTCAATGGGAAAAAGCTGCAGAAACCCAGATCAAAGCCAGGAGTACAGGTTATATTTTCATATGCAGATCTGGCGTATCCACACATTGGATCTTGTCTTGCTGTTTCTGTCAAGATTATATCTGAGAAGAGAGAGAGAAAGGTTTGCTTTGACAGTATTTCTGAGGTAGAAACACTGAGAGACTGAGAAGCGTTTTCACACCCTTTTTTATGCATACAGAATGTGTGAATTTTAAATAAGCACCAGAGAGAAAGTAACTTTGCTGAGGCTACCAGCCACTGCTTGTGAGCCATGGACATAGGTATGCGTGTGATTTACACTGGTTCAGGTTAAAGCACTTTAATTAGACCCTCAAGTTAGGAGTTTCAATTATAAACACAAGTGGTTGTTGTTTTCTGTTGAATGCTGGGAGAAACCGGTAAGAAAAGTGCCTTATCTTTCACCTTACCGAGCATCCTGGTTTTCTTTTCTTTTTTTTCTTCTCTTTTCTTCTTTTCTCTTTTTTCTTTTCTTTTTTCTTTTTTTTCTTTTCTTTTTTTTCTTTTCTTTTCAGTAAAGTCTGTTTTTTTAAAGTCATCAAAATTGTGATGAAGGCAGCCAGAAGAAAAACATTGGGAGCCTGAAATTGCCTATTTACTTGCCAGAAGCACCCCGTTCTGGCAAGTGCAGTGTTTTGGGGGTTTTTTTTAACCTGTTGCGCTCCCTTTACAGCATGTGCAGAAGTAGTAATGAATTTAAGAATGAGCTCTGCCTGTGCAAAGTAACTACATTTTGATAAATAAAGTTTTTAAAACTCTATAGAATGTACATAGAGGGGGATAACCCTGCCTCACTTTGCTATTCCCCTACTGAATACTGTTATGGGGAGAATCCTCTATTAGATGATAGAGGATAGTTAAAAGATCTATGGTAAGGTTGTCCTTCATGCCTTTATATAAAGATTCTAAAGAAAATCCTATGGAAATACTAAATTTTGCAGCATATATCTGTATCTGTTTCAGTTTACTCATTAACATCAGAGAAGTCTACAATAATGACTCAGACTGCTATTTTCAGGGGAAAGAATGACAACAGTGCATCTGGGCTGAAACCACGTCCATCAGCAGCACTGCAATATTCAGGGCTATTTCACTTTGCATCACAGACACCGGGATGTCTCGCGCTGCTGCACATGAGGTTCACCCTCAGGCTTTGGCCCCTTATTTTAGATTGCTGTGGTAATTTCTATACTTTCAGTATTTTATAAATAATGTACTTCTGGGGGAGTCAGGATTTCTTACTCCTTAGCCATCTGTTTACCATCGCTTTCCTCTTTGGTTTATTTGCCGCCCCTTTCAGTGCTGTGTTTTCCTGCCAGGGCTGGATGACTAATCTCTCCCTGCCGCCCCTCGGTGCCTGAGTGGGCTTTCCTGGGTGGGACTCCCTGGCCATGAACGAGGAGCAGCTTCATTCCCGGTGGGGTGGATTTCCTCTGTCTTCCTTTATCAGCCCCAGTTTCTGCCTCCCTCTTCTCAGTTATGCTTCTTGTCCTTTTCTTCTTTACTGTCTCCATTCCTCTGCCCTAGGGCAGACCTAATAAAGGATTTCAGCTTCTAAAAAGCACATCAGTGCACAAACCTTCATCCATCCACGATAAAACACATCACCTCTCATGGGTTTACACAGTGCAGAGGGACGAGCAGAACCTGTGGGCTGTGGTTCAGGGGATGACAACATGGCCCGTCCTTGCTGTAGGATTTCTGCAGGAGAGTGACCAAAGCTGTGTGTTGAGCGTGGGTAGCCGAGCCTGCTGGTGTGCCCGTGGGTGCAAGAAGCTTCCCTCCAGGGGCTTAAGCAGAGAAAGGACTTCAAGCCTCCTTCCCTTCCATGCTGTCCCGGCTTCACGTCCATCTCTTGGCTGCCAGCTCCCCTCATTTGCTGCCATGCTTTACCATTCATCCTTACTCTTCTGCTTTTCTGTCTCTCCCATCGTGCCAGCTGCTTCTGCCGGTCCCCTTGCCTCGTGATATGGCCACCTCTGTGCTAGCGTCCGGGAAGATCTGCCTCGCATCTTCAGCCTGTAGCCCCGAACTCTTCCCTCCATTTCTCGTAGTAACCCCCAGCCCGAGCAGAGCATTTATAGGTTCTCCAGAAAATTCCCCTGCCTCCCTTCTGGGGGAAAGAGCTGGCAACTTTCAACAGGGAAACATGGAGTTGTATTCAGTAGAGACAGTACTTAGTCCCTGAAGTCTGAAAATGTAGGAAGGTGGGAGACAACTGTGAGAAACAGAAATGCCAGAAAAATGTGGAGGATTTGGCAGCCCTGTCTTTATGTCTACTGTGTTACCCTGCAGAACAGAATTGAAGACAAACATATGAATGTGCTAACGCTGAAGTTACTGGATGCGAGTCTGCTACTGAATTATTTTGAGGGATTTTTTTAAATTTTTTTTCAGTTTCAAGGTTATTTTTTTTTGTTGCCATTCTGCTCTAGTTTCTCTCCAGATAATAGTAATGAAAAGTTACGGCGCTCCAGAACAACTCCAAAACCCTGTCTTTAAAAATGCTCATTTGATATTAGCCTCCTTTGGCTAAAACCACATCAGATATAATTGAATGCTGTCAGATTGCCATTGCTTTGTGTCACCAGCCCAGGAACCAGACTGCAGTCATGAACCTTTCAGGAAAATCCATCATAAAAACACTGGTAGGAAGCTGGTTAATACCAGTCTAATGCAGTTAAACAGATTATCTTAAGAGTACATACCTCTGCAACCCCTTTATAACTGTATCACCAGGACTACCCAGTCATTTTAACCATTATTATGCTGCAAAGAAGGGAAAATTCAAAGTCCTTTGGATGCAAAAAGCAAAAATTGTCAGAAGGTGTCAAAACAGAGAGATGATTTCAAAACCAGCCTAATCGTTATTCAGTATGGTGCTTACCTCTGATAGGAGATAATACCACTGTGTTCCTCCTTGTCTGAAACTGCTTACAGCTGCTCTCTGCAGTTCACATCATGCGTGCAGTCAAATCTTCTCGTGTCTGCCACCGCCAATACAAAGCTGCATACTGCGGGAACACCAGTTACCATCATTGCAAGTAATGCTGACCTCATTACAAAGCTGTTAAAAGTGACCTAAAATTTATCTGTTCTCATTAGTATAATGTAACTCTTGACCTCATTTGACTGGCTGAACTAATGAAAAAATAGTTTCAGTAATAAGAAGCAAAATGAAATGTTACTCGGTGTAAATACACAGAGTGTCTCGCCCAGGAGGAGAGGAGTCAAAGAGAGCACAGACCTGAGCTGCTAACTCATTCAGACAGGTCTTTATTTCTTGAACGGGACCTGGAGTCAAACCATTACTTTGAAGCCTTGGCTGTATTTGATCCAGAACTGAACTGTTTCCTGCCTGCCTGCCTTCCCACAAACTATCTCTAGCTACCACTCTTAAGTCCTGACCGTCTGCCACGCCAGCCCGCGTAGCCCACGTCCTGTTGGCGACGGCGTGGCAGCACGGTGTTGCAGTCATTTCCCCTGCACCGAGATGTCCTGCACTGCTGGAGATGTCATCCTGTGCCTCTCAGTTGCTTTGAGCTCCGTGCATGGAGCAGTGCAAGACAGACCTTCCCTGCCTGTGGTATGAGGGGCTCCCGTTGCCGTGCCGTTTGCGGGAGGTGGGGGGCTTGCGCCTTCCTCACGTCGTGGGGCTGCAGGGTCCCTCCTGTGGGACCCCTGCACGTGACCTGGCTCGCGAGACTGTACGCGTGCGTGCACATCTCCGTACCTTGTTGTGCGCGTTGCTGTCTGCGCTGAGCACTGTAAGCCCAGACTTTTGTGGGATTGAAGGGGCAGGAGCATGCAGAGCGGGGTGTCTCTCCTGATGCCCTGGGGCAGTGAGGAGAGCACAGCTGACTGCGGTACAGCCCATCACAGTCCCTCTGCCTGCCCTCACCCACGCCCACGCTGGCAAGGGGCTGCTCTGTGTGCAGCTGCTGAAGAGGCTGCAGCAGGTAGGAGATAGGAATGCAGTCCAACCTCACACTGAGAGTCTGCTCCTGTCCTGTAACCCATAAATCTTGTCCTAACAGTTAGACGGTTTGGTATGAGCAAGTTTGAGGTGGTTCATCACTACCCAAACTGGTTAACAAATATTTACTGGCCTCCAGCCAAGCTGACCTACAATCATGCTATCAAATATGGTAATTCTGCCCCTTCTCTGACTGCAAAATTCAAAGCTATAGAAGTGAAAATGAATGTTTTTTGTTTTATTATGAGATTAATAAGGGCTGAGGCTTTGTGGTTTTCAAAATGTGATTGTGGTAAACATTGCCATGGCAATGAGACCATCTCAATGTGCATAGTGAGAGGGCGCTGGCTGTGTGGTCATCCTGGTCTTCCTGGGGCTTGTTGCCAAGCACGGATGCTAAAGCTCACCCAGGGGACCGCCGGCACTGGGTCCTCCCTTCCTCATTGCAGAGCACCAGTTGGATATTCATGCAGTTACCCATGTTTTGCAACACAGAGCTATAAACATGTCACCAGAAACAGAGGAGTTTCTAGGTGGGTGGAAAATGGTGTGCTGCTGCTGCACGCATACTGATACGCCTCTATTTCTTTGGGCTCTGCTTTTACGCAGCTTTCAAACTCACATAAAACTCATTTATCTCCAGTGAAGGCTGTATGTGCTTTCTTCATATTTCCTATCAGATGTGCTGCTACAGCTTTCCTTGGTTGTCGTGGACCTCACAGGAACATACCTAGTTGTCCTAACCAGACTATTGTACATGGAGGAGCTCAAGATCCGCGTACCTGTTGCCTTGAGCAGGCGCAGGCACGCACTGTGCCGTGCTGTACTGTGCTGCACATATTGCGTGGCCTTCAGGACCGTGCTGTGCTGCCCACATTCCTTGCCGTGGGGTACCCTCAGCCAGCTAATTGTAATGGAAGAGCCTGGAGGTGTCACTTACTTGGCACCAGTAGTGACACCATGAGCACTGTCTTTATCTTGAGGTGAAGCAACATACTTTTGTATAAACATCCAATTGAAAAATCCTATAAAAACTCTAAATACCACAGTGCCGGTGAACCTTGCCCCCGATGGGAAGTCTGGGCAGCGTGCCGTGCACTGATCGCAGGTCTGTCTGATGCTGCATCATCTTGGGGTCCCAGTGTCAGAAGGAATGTAAGATCTTGTAGCTTGCCGCCGCCTTTTCTGGGGTATTAATGAAGTAGTTACCTTTCTCGAGAGTGTTTGTCTTTCTGTTTTGGGGTCCAAAAAGAACCAGCATCTCTTGGTGCAAAGCCAAGTCCACTGATATTTGTGAATATAATGTTGGATTTTGTAGAGAAAAATGTGTTCCTAAATATACGCCCATCCAGTTAGGCCATCATTAGTGCTGTACATCATTAAGTCTTAGTCATTGTAATACTGTGCTGTGTGGGAAGGAATCCCAGGCTGAATCTATTTTTGACCTCTAATAGTCGATTTACAATGAGTATAGTTGCAGAGTTCGAATGTTTGCTGATTATTGCTGAGCTGGACTACTAGTTTTAAAAATAAAACAATTCTAAGAGTATCGCTGAAGTTCCTTAACAGAGACCTTTCAGCAAATTCACTGGATTTCCTGAACCGGTGCTCGCAGGCAGGGCAATGCCACCCAGCATGGTCACTGCTTAATGGGGCTATTGAACTCTCCTTGCTGGTTCTCCACTTTTCATGAGGAGTTGTGTTGCAGTGCTCGAGATCTTTAAGTGTCTTCTTGGAGGAAACAATGGGAAACTAAATTGCCAGGTAGCAAGGAGCCTGCAGGAAACAAAAAATTGAGATGAAAAAGATAAATGAGCCACCAAACGTGATCAGCTGGTTCAAGTATCAACCGTGTTGTGCTTGCAGAAGTGTGTCTGGCCTCTGCAATATCTATTCTCTTCCTCAGAGAAGTTCAGTCTTCAGAAACTGGGGAAGAATGGGAGCCAAATTTGGCTGTCCTTTTTCAGAAATTCCCCAGGGTCAGTTTTGCCTGCACCTGGCCCTGGCCCTGTGCGCAGGTATGTAGGTTCATACACGAACGATAATCCCAGCAGGGCCACAGGAGTGTCTTCAGAAGAGTTTCCTTCCAAGGAAATGCACAAGCCCTTGGCAGTTGTGGCCAGATGTGACTCTGCTGTGTATCTAATACTGATGAAATACTTGACAGGTGTTTTTTCGGTTTTGTTTTGCAGGAAGAAATCATTCCTGTTTTCAGCTCTGTATGCTGCCTTTATATTTGGTGGTCGGCACCTAATGAACAAACGAGCAAAATTTGAACTGAGGAAGCCACTAGTGCTCTGGTCCCTGAGCCTTGCCGTCTTCAGGTAGGCATTTCTTCACACCGACTGCCTTTGACAGTAGTCCATGAAGAGGGTTTGGGGTTTCTTCACATGCAACAGCACTGCTAACGCAACAACAAGCTCACCCAGAAACGGCATGTCTTTAGTTGTGCCGTTCAGGGTTATGTCCTCATCCACTCCTCAGCGTTGAAATGATCCCCTTTGACTTGCCAGATCATACAGCGTTTGAAGAGGAGAGAAATCAATAAGCTACTTGGAGAACAAAGGTGAAAATACAGTGAGGACACGAGAAAAGGCGCTTATCATTGCAATAAATTTACCATGCAAGCGACAAATGAAATATAAACACATTAAGATGTTAAGTCTTGTTCTCACTTACTAGGTAGGATTATGTTTATATGGGTGCATACATGGAATATTTAGTCAAGAATCTGATCTCCATTACAGTGAGGTAAACCTGAAGTCACTGCTTTGATGACAGGTAAAGTAGGTCACTGTAATTGAAATCAGAATCTGGCTTCCGGTTATTCCATCGCAAAGAGCTTGTGGATGTAGCAAAAGGGTGACTCCACATGGGCAGTGATGCACTTCTCTCTAGCTGTGTGTTGACTCCATATCATCGAGTATGGGGAAAGTCAGGTTCAGCTTCTTGATAGCTGCTGATGTCAGGAGTAAAACTGACCAACCTGAATTCCACTTTATCTGCTTAAAATGCTAATTTTTAATGAGGCTGAAGATAAATGAATGAATGAACAAATGCTTATAAAAATAGCCCTTACAAGCACACAAACTTTTGGTACAATGTACTAATAACAGTACATTATACTTCATTTCAGTGCCTAAATTATAGTTCACTCAACAGCATAGAAACCATTTGCAAACCTTTATCAAACACTGATACCTCTACCTTTTTCTAATATCAATATAATAATTACTAATTATATTAATTCACAAGTACATAAAACAGGTTTGCTTTCTAAGCAGCTGTGAATGGTGCCTGATTTTTCACAGGATGGCAATAGTTTGCACTGAGAGTTTCTACAGAGTAAAATAAAGCAGAAACAGAGAAGTTTGCTTTCTTTTGTGGCTTTTCCTTTTTTCCTCCAAAATTGTTCTATCACATTGACACTTTCTAAAACTCTAGCAGGGGAAAATAAATTGTATTTCTAAGTTGTCTCATCCAGCTAGGACATGCTAACAAAAGAACTTTATGTTGGCTTGGTTTTGATAGTTCATCGATACCTTTAAAAATATCCTAGTGCAGACAAAACTTTGAGCAGTCTGGGTAACTTTGAGAGCGAGTTCTGACTCTGTGAAAGTTTATGATTTTCATCTGGTTGGATTTGGCGCTGTACTTCTGGCTGTGTGTATAACATAGTTTTGCTGTTAGAGTCCTGTAAGCAAGTTGTCGTCATTTGTTCCAGAAATGGCTGAATTTCAGCAGCTGTTGAATTGGTTCCTAGATGGCATGTCATTTGTAGATCAATTTGTAAAGTGATTTGTAACCAGCAGGATCCCAAAATGCATATTCCAATTATACTTTCTTATTGAATGTGGCCACTAGAAACTAGCTGACTTACGCAAAGCGTTCGTAGTTTAATTCCCAGTCCGAGGGGGGGAGCATGATTTCAGAAGCGTCCTTTGCAGCAGGTGTCTAGGATGAATTTTAAAATCTCATTATTTCGAGATGGGTCTGTGGCTAACATTCACAGTGAGGGGATTTTAAGCAATGTCACTAATTAATTTTCCCCAAAAATCATAAGTAATCAATGAATAACAAGAATATATGCTACACTGTGAAAGTGCTGTCTAGATGGACTTTGAAATCAGCATGCTTGTTACTTGCTAATTGGAGTTTCCCATCATAATCATATGAAATAGCTAACGCATGGCCAGCATGAGCTGGTGAGCGATGCTGGGTAAAATCTAAAGCGTGGACTTCATGGTTTTGAAGCTACAAGTTGCCACAGCGGCCACCTCTCGCTGTGCCTCATAGTGCTCTACTTGTGCAGATGTGGAGTAGCGGAGAAGGGCGCAGTTCGAGAAGGATTCACCACTGCAGGGTATGCTTCCTCCATCAGCTCAGCCAGCACTGTTCAGGGACAAGCGGTCCCCAGGCACTGCACAACTCGCCCTTTCCTCTGCACGGCGGGAAATGGGACAGCAGGGTAGAGGGGAGGGATGAACAGGAATGTGAGATGTTTGGACTACACAGAAGCAAGGAGCATTTAAGCTGCTGGATTTGCTAGTGGGGACCTGTTGATTATGAAAATTATATAGCTATGCTTAGAAAACTTTGCTCTACTGAGGTGCTGAGCAGTATGCGGAAGAGTGAAGTAGGGAAGGGGAAAAATGACCCAAAATGTTTGCAGTAAGACAGAGCATGAAACCTCTGTAGCTTCCATGGTAACATGCAATCTCATAAAAAACCCAACTGAAACCCTTTGACTTCTTGCCTGGAAGTGCAGAATATTCATTAAAACCTGAGATTAAAACTTCTTATAAAAAGTGTTAATTGGCACATCCATTTCCTGGTGTTTCACCACCACTGTCCTTTCTAGGGCCATCGGTCACTCCCAGCCTTATTGACTGTCTTAGCAAGCTGCACTGGACTTTGAATGCTGTAAACTTTCCAAGTAACTTAGATCTTTTTTTTTCTGGCTCCTTGCATAACTAGGTGTTTCATTTACATATGCTTAGCCTGAAAGACATTTCTCCTTCCTCTGAAGGTCAATTCAGATAGATTTAGATGCCAGTGTTCTGCCCGTAGACTTACTATGGATCCAGCAAAATGCTTCTTAACTTTAAAAAGACTTCCTCTTTGGCTTTCTGGGATACTAAAATACTATGACTTTTATGATACCTTGTAGAAATTCAAAGTAATGTATTTGTCTGCCATGAGTGGTTGTGCTGGGGAAGAAAAACCTGGCTGGAGAGCCTTCAGTAGTCTGCCTCAAGGTTAATGTGAGGGTTTTTTCCAGAGTCCTTGTTTATCTCCCTTCTAGCACTCCTACCATTTTACCTGCTTCAGATATCCTCAGAAATAATGACTCTTAGCAGAGGCTGGAAGGATGTGTTTCGGGCTTACAAAAAAAAAAAAAAAAAAAAGGAAATTGCCTGCTAGGCAATGACATGGTCCTTCTTCAGAATGCATCCTGTACGCCTGGCTCTTGCCAAGATCATTTAAATGTGGTAGCAGCTACAGTAGGAAACTTGCCACGCTTATAAATAAGTAAAACAACTACACCACCCTACTGAGCTTGCTGAGCATTCAGGAGCTCGGTCAAGAGTGAGTTTTGTGTCAACACTGGCAGCCAGCAGGATTTCTGAGGCAAAAAAAGCAGCTTTATTTCCCTTTGGAAGCATCGACTAGTTTAGAACATTTTGTCTCTGGAATAAGGTTACCACTTCTCAGTGAAAACTTCTGTAGTACCAATGGCAGTAGATCTTGCTTTACACTTGGAATCCACCGTGAAAACACGATCTTCTGAAATCTTTTGCTGAGAAATCAGTTTGGGATGTTTTTCTTGGGTTGTTGGTCTTTTTTCCTGCTTAGCAGGTTTGTTGACTTGTTTCAAGCATTGAAGATTTATTGTTTTCTGAAATGTTTTCAGTCTTTTGTTTTGTTTTCTACACTTCAATTGCTCTCGCCCAGCCTGGTTATGTGCTGAAGTCCTGGGGGAGCAGCTCTGTGCTGCTCCATGTCAACAGGAACCTGCTGTTCCAGGAAGCTGACACAAAAGTTCATTTTTCAGTCTTGTAAGACCCCAAGGAAACTTTTGCTGATTCACCTATACATGAAAGTGACAGTCAGCCCTGTGTTTCTGAATATTTGCTGGGGTTAAAGATCTGCAAAAATCTGAGTTGCCAGTTTTATATTCATGCCACTTTGAACATAGGGTGATTCATTGAATTTTTTACTTGGAATTTATCAAAAGTGTCTTGCTGGCGTCTCTAGGAATCAGCAAAGCTGAGACCAGGACTCTCACGGAAGGATACGTAGTCATTAATTCATGTTTTCTTTACATCTCAGCTGGATTTTTGTATTTCCTTTTATAGGCCGTAGAGTCTATGTATGGATAGCATTGCTATCAAGGAGCTTAAACATGTATTTGATCTCCTCGTCTTCACACAAGACAGCAGCATGGCACCATCCTCACTTGCTCTCCATCCTTAAAGGGCTGCCAACAGAAATCTCAGGGTCAAGGCACTAAATAATAATAGGAAAAGGTTGTCTTCCCTAGGGAATACTGTCACGTCAATACGGGAGATGAAGAAGCTAAAACATCCAACGTGATGCAGTCATTTGTAGGCAGAGGCTAAGCCTGACCATGACCGGTGCAGAGAGAGGAGGGACTTCTCTTTGTCTAGCCAAACCACACAACCATAATGCAATTATCATCACCTGAGATCACTTAGATTCCAATCCAAATTCAGCTATGCTTTGTGGCAGTGGTCGAAATCAGTTGATGTCAATACAGAGTTTCCAAATGTCCGAAACACGTCTTTATGTGAGGAACTCAGTCCTGAGCTGAGCGGAACGGAAAAGTCTAAACATAAGTTTAAAGAAAGGTTTTCAATTGCTTGGATTTGTGACTCTGAAATACGTTCTAGTTATCATGCTTATATGTAGGAAAATTGATGAAAAATTATTCAAATTTACGTCCTATCTCAAGACCTGCCATTCACAGATACTTGCCGTGGAGGTTAAAGCACAACTTAATTTCATATGTTGCTGAGCAACCCATCAAAATCTTAAAATACTCTGAAATTTGATAAAGGTCCTGACAGTACATTCAAAGAGAAAATTAATTACTGAAAAGAACAATATTTGTCAAATAACATTAAAATTAATAAGCAGCATTTAAGGTGAATTAATAATCTTCCTTGTTATAAACTTAAAAGCAATCAAATTCTATGTGAAACATTCTCTGTATTTGTAAAGCATTAATGTATATTCTCAGTAGAACATTTCTCAGAACCCAAATTAGTAAAATGCATAATATCTACCTGCTTAACAATTT